AGAAACGATTCCAGTTCCGATAGCATAGCGGGAGCACATGTCATATATCGATAACGATAGCACTTAATTAGTTCAAGCGTCTGTCGGAACGGAGAACGAAGAACCGGTTCGCGACGAGCACACGAGACGCGAGCTAAGCAAACAGTTTTCAAACGGTAAATTAACAGAACTGGGCGCCCAGCAGCTGCGACGAGTGGCCCAAGAACGAGTGCGCGGATCGCTGATTGGCTGGCTGGCTGGCGAGCGGCGAGAGAACGAATATCGATCGAGTACACTGGACACGCTGGACTGGACGTGTGGACAAACGTTTGAACACTAAATGGCCAGGCGCGGTGCCTGGAATCCGAATCCGCATCCGCAACGTAGTCGGAGTCATCTGCCTGCCCCGTCGGCCACTCAAAACCTGTGCAGAAGGTGGGCCCAAACATGCCGAACGGCAAACGTGCATCGGGCATCGGGCGTCGCGGCCAGCGATCAGCGTCAGTTGCATTTCAAAGAAAGGAGAAAGGAGTTCGCCAACAGCGGCAGTCGAGCTCAGATTCTCAGTCTCAGCATCAGTCAGTCACGCTACACGCCCGCCTGCCTGCCAGCCAGCTTTTGGTCAACACACACACACAAGCACAGGTTTAAAAAGAATTCCTGCTAATTAAATGCATGATCATCGCTCAAAAATACACCCCAGCAACACGAAAGTTACAAGAGTCATTCGCGTATTTCATCAGAGCCAGCTCCAAACGATTCGAGCTGATAGCGTGACACGACAAGTCGTGTTCGTGCCTATTATTATTGACTTTGGACTAACACGAAAATTGTAGGAACATCAATATTAAAAATCAGAAAGTCGCAATTTCGATTTTGAAAAATATAGCTAAAAATCTACTAATAATTATTAATCTTTACAAATAATTTAACATCAAAATCAAAATATCGATAACGATCAAAAGATTTTATTTAAATAATTTATTTTACAATTTCAAATACATTTTAAAATCCAAATTTACGAAATTAAAGACATAATCTCTAAGAATGACATTTTTATGTATATTTTTGTATGTTTGTTAGAAAATTAATCGTTGGCAAGTTAACATTTCTGAATTCTGAATTCTACTGATAACCCTATCGAAAGCAACAATGGGATCCTAGCTAATTATTTCCCTTATCAATATTTTTTTTTATACTGTTATCTGCACAGCTACCGATTACAGTATCGATAGCACTATTTTTCGATTGGTTTCAATATTTCATTAAATTTATGAGACTCCCGTCGATAGTTTTTCTTTTCAATATTTACTTTATTTATACTTAAATCAGAACCTTTTATTGCCAGCCTTTAATTTATAACAGGTATACACACATATAATAAGTATATTCTCCAATATTAAGTAACAGACCCCAACATGTCCTTTTTCGTGTCGTGTCACGACATATCGAAAAGCTGCCATCACTAGCGCGAAACAAAAACTGAGCCAAAACAGAGTCCAATTCAGAGTCAAAGTCGTAGCCGGAGTCCGTGACGTTACGTTGGGGGCCGCGTCATCGCAGCCGTGCACCGCAGCAGGCTCCAGCTGCAGTCATACACTCACACATACAGACACACACACACACACACACACACATGCATGCAAACATACAAAAAAAGCGCACCTTTAACTTTAATCGTTAAATAAACAGGAAGACTTCTACAGCAAACACTCACAATCGCACACACACACACACACACACATACAGCGGGAGAAAACTTATCACAAGTCAGCAGCAGCAGCAGCAGATGAGAAAAAAAAATGAAATAAAACAGGTTGAGAAGTACCGCTAAGCGGGAAGAAACAGCAGCAGCAGCAGCAGCAGCGGCAACGGCAGCGGCAGTAAGAATCAGCAACGACAACGGCAGCGCCAGCAACAAGCCCCACAAGCAAAAAGGTCAACGAACGTTCTTAGCGAAGAAGAATGGAATCAAAACACAAAAACACGAAAAACTGAGCATGCCAGCCAGAAAGAAAGAGCGCAAGAAATGAGGGAGAGAGCGAGAGCGTGAGGCGGTCGCCCGTCATTGGTGGGTGAGCGCGCGCGCACGTCAAAAGAGCGCAAAGAAAGTGCGCGCAGAGAAAGCATATAGAAAAACGATCGTCGAACAGCTTAAGAGAGCGCGCCGAAGAAAGAGCGCCCGTGCTAAGAGAGCGAGCGCGCGTGCAGTTAAACAGTCAAAATTTATGCGGTATGCATTTTGAAAAGTATTTTTATGAAAATCACCCGAACGCAAATGTATTTTTAGCAAGAATTTCTGAAACGCACGGGCAAAACAAAAGTGCAGACAAAGAGAGCGAGGGGAGAGGGAGTTGGAGATGGAGAGCGGCTAAGCGTTGTAACTGTCTCGAGAAAGCCAAAAGAAACTGAAATTCTTGTTTTATTGCTCAATATTTGGTAATACGCACGCACACAATTAAAACTCCATACACAAACACACACACACACACACACAGAGACGTGCAAAAGCCATTGAATGTAGCGGTATATTGACGAAATTTCTGAGACGAGCAACAGGCAAAGCTCATTGACCTCCAGCAGCCGTCAACGTTGCCGCCGTCGACGACGTCGCCGTTGTAACTGTGTAATAAGCTTTTGGAGCTGCGCGCGGGGGCCGTAACAGCTGCAGGGGCTAGAAGTCTGTTTTATGTATTGTGTTTTTTTTGTTGCTGTTGTTTTTGTGTTTGATTTCTTCCGTTCGCTGAAGAGTCGAGCTTTGAGCAATTCAACAGATTTTTATGTCTTCCTGTGCACCTTAAAACGTTGATTAATTAAAAAAACAACAACAACAAAAATGCTTATGCAATTGGTCAGCGTGTGGGCTGCATGTCTTTTGCAATCTATCTCTCTCGCTCTTCCTCTTAGCTGATAAGCTGCCTGCAAACATTGTTATTGGCCAAGCCAAAATCTGGCCGACACTTGAGAGTTTTCCCTAGCGCTTAAGCAAATAGCTGCGGACTATGTTTGCTGCCTTTGCTTCAAATTGCCTGCAACATTGATCCTGTTTCACTGTGCGCAGCTTTGCGCGCGCGTGCGTGTGTGTGTGTGTGTGTGTTTGTAGGTGCCTGTGCGAGTGCCCGCGCCCTGCTCTGATTGGCCAATTGCCTGCTTAGGGCTTCGCTAGGCGAACAGCTGCCATTGGCTGTTGCGCTGCTGCTTCCCAATTCGACATCCTTTCGTTGAGTATCCTCTTCGGCTTGCCTGTTGCTTGCTTTTATACTCTTTGTGAAGAGAGTCGTCGGAATACTATATAATAGAGAGCGACCTCAGGCGTTGAAGAGCACAGCTCTCTCTCTTTGATCCTTTGAATACTATATACAAAACTATTATAAAATAATAATAGATGGGTTTTAAATTATTTTTAGAAACCATTTTGCTGCCTAACTGAATTGCTCTTTGGGCAAATAGGAAATGATTAAATAATTATTAAATTGACACAAAACAAATGTTAGCAAAATTTTAAAGGGCATACACAATTCAACCTGCTGATAACCATATTTTGCCAATGGCAATGGCTTGTGTGGCAGTTGCGATTATTTTCATTCATGCCACAGACACAATTTATTTGAATGGATTGTTGCAACAGGACGAACAATTTTTGGGGTATAAATACGGCCAGTCGAATCACAAAGTTCCTAGTTTCAAACTGATTGCGAAATACGCAATAGCTTAAAATCTAAACGTGTCTGTGAGCTGGTAAAAAAAAAAATATAAAAGGAAAAGAACATTTAAAGTGAAGTAAACTAAGTTGCAAATTCATTTTCATAAAATAACTGATACAAAAATACATTTTCCCGTCTTTGAAAATTTGAAAATTCCTTTAGCTGATAACAAAAGTATTCGGAATGAATAATTTCACGAGAATCTCGTAATAAAATAAAAAGCTTAATTCATTTTATTTATTTTATTCAATTACATTTTTTACACAAAAAAGAAATGTTGCGATAAAAAATCATTTGTTACGCAAAATAAAAGTTGGACATTATTCATAATATGAATCTTAAATGCTGCATTTAAATCACAAACCAACATTAAATATGTACTAAAATATGTTAGATTATATTTTAAATAACTAAAAGTATAGTAGTTTTAGGTATGTGTATATGTACGTTTTATTTGTATTTTAATTAATTGTGAATGCATGACAAAATGCAGTTCAATCAGTTCTGAATAGGTTCAACCGAGTGCATGCGGCAGGTGCGCATTTTGGATGCACCAGATACACGTATTTAGTGTATAGTATATGGTATTTGGTATGGAGTACAATGTCTAAGATCGTCGCGATAGTCATTAAATTGACAGCATTTTGAAACAATAGAATGAAATACCAGCATAAACAATTAAAGAGCGCTCAACATTTAAACGGAATTTTGTTGGCCAATCGGCCAGCTTCGATCTGTCATGTTCGTCTCGTATGGGGCACAATTAGAATTGTTGTTGCTGCATGTTGCAATCGTAATTGGCGGACAATCTGTTAACACACGAAGCGCGTTTCGCGTTTCGCCCTGCTGTTACAAATTGTTGTCATTATAATTATTCGAAATATATTATTTGTTCTCCACCTACTATAAAAGACGAATGCGCCAACTCCGCAAGCCAAACAGTTGCCGAAAAGAATTCACAATATCGTTTCTAAATATTTGTGCAGTCATAATTAAACCCTTTCTACAACAACAACGACGTCGACGACGACCTGTGGCTCATTGAGGTTAATAGAGGCTCTAGGAAATATAGCCTGGCAATTTAGCCCAGCCCTGCACCTTGTGTGCGAGCTGTTTTCACAGCTGGCCACGTTTCCCAGGGAAATGCGCCGTTGTCGTTCCACGGGTTCGCTTTTCATTTCCAATTAGACTGAAGCCCCACAACGTCGGAAGCTAACGTCCAAGTTTTTATACATATTCAGTCAGCGGTCGACGTTCCAATTTGCCATTTCAATTTGACACACAAAACTTGACTAAATCCAAAAACTCTTCCGACAGATAATGGCGCACATGTAGCCCCGATTACCGATTACCCGCAGTCCGAGATACAGTTATAACCAAAAGGCGTTCCGACAAAGCTGACAAAGGATTAGGCCGCTCAGCTAATACCCAGCGATATTTACAACTGCAAACAGCTAACAGCCACACACACAGACACACTCAGACGTCATCGCCATGGACTTTAAGGAGTATCGTCAACGGGGTAAGTGAAGCTCATAAAACGCACAGCGGCAGCTCAGATACATTTGTCGCCATGGCTCAGATACATTTGTATCTTGCAGGCTTAATTTGATTTGCATGCGTTGTGTGCATGTGATTGTGTGTGCGTGTGTGTGTGTGTGTGTGCGTGTGTGTGTCTTGCCTGTGCTAAAAGGATTTGGAATGTGTCCCAACACATTTGCCCAGATCTAGGCAATATATCTCAGCTCGTTAATCTTGATTCAATGAGCTTTCATTTAGTTGCGCTTATTGCTGGAATTATTTTATCTTTTATTTGTTCAATTATTATTTCGAGCTTCAAATATAGTTCTATATATATATTTATGCTATTTATAAAATACATTTCTGCACGTTATCAGATTTGTTAAATCGAGCCTTAAATTGAATTAATTTAGCTTACGACTTATATTTATTCGAAGAAAATAATATAATTTGGGTACAGATATTTAAGATTTCAGAAGTGTTTAATTGAGCCTTGGTGTAAATTAATTTAGCTTCAAATTAATAAGTTTCCATGTCTTGGTAAAACTTGTTAAGGATATAACAAAATATTATTTGAGCAAATTTTTTAAATGATATAATTTTAGAAAAAACTTAAAATTTTTTAGACCTTAGCAATGTTTAATTGAACTCAAATTTAAATTAAATTAACTTCTTCTGTATTTTCTAGCTCTTACTATTTAAACGATATAATTAAATATTAAGTAAATTGACAACTAATGAAATTTTGCTCGTTTTCTCCAGGCAAGGAAATGGTCGACTATATAGCCGACTATTTGGAGAATATACGCGAGCGTCGCGTCTTTCCCGATGTGAGTCCCGGCTATATGCGCCAGCTGCTGCCCGAGTCGGCGCCCGTGGAGGGCGAGCCCTGGCCGAAGATCTTTGGGGACGTGGAGCACATTATCATGTCCGGAGTGACACACTGGCAGTCGCCGCATATGCACGGCTACTTTCCGGCGCTGAACTCGATGCCGTCGCTGCTGGGCGACATGCTGGCGGATGCCATCAATTGCTTGGGCTTCACCTGGGCCAGCTCGCCGGCGTGCACGGAGCTGGAGATTGTTGTGATGAACTGGCTGGGCAAGATGATTGGGCTGCCGGACGAGTTCCTGCACCTGAGCAACAACTGCAAGGGCGGCGGCGTCCTGCAGACAACGGCCAGCGAGGCGACCCTGGTCTGCCTGCTCGCGGGACGCACCCGGGCCATACAGCGCTTCCATGAGCGCAATCCCGGCTACCAGGATGCGGAGATAAATGCCCGCCTCGTGGCCTACTGCTCGGATCAGGCGCACTCAAGCGTGGAGAAGGCCGCCCTGATTGGTGAGTCGTGACGCACTTCTAAGCCGCTTACCGCAGCAGCTAATGTTAACATCCATCCCACCCCCTACCTTACTCCCGTCCACCCGCCCACAGGACTCGTGCGTATGCGCTACATTGAGGCGGACGAGCAGCTGGCCATGCGAGGCAAACTGTTGCGCGAGGCCATCGAGGACGACATTAAGCAGGGCCTGGTCCCATTCTGGGTGAGTCTCGACTTGTCTTCTCTTGTCAAAACTAATTGGCCGCCGTCGTTGCGCAATTAGGCGCTGAGTGGATTTGTGGCCAGCAGCAGCAGCAGCTGTGTCTCCCTCTCTTTCTCTCTCTAACTGGCTCTTTCTCTAGCTGATTCCCTGATTCCCATCGGAGCTAATTAATGTACGTCAGCACTTCAGCGTCATGGCTCTGCGCCCAGCTCATTTTAACTAATAACTGCAGCTGAGAGCGCAGTTAAAACGCGAGCCTGCCAACTCTCTTGTGGTTACGCGCTTTCTACATGATTCGTAAACGTTTAGCTGGCGGCTAAAGCTTTATCCTACATTCTTGTAATGCTTTTGATTTATAGGTCTTCTTTGTCATCCGTAAGCTTTTTATCCTTTTGCTTAGCTCTTTCTGCAGCATTCGTAAACGTTTAACTGGCAGATCAAGGTCTAGTTTCCTTGCTATAAAAGTATTTGATGTTTTATTTATTCTTATCTTAAGCTTTTTTATAGCATTAGTGAAAGTTTTACTGAACATGAAATTCTTGCTTGTTGTTCATAAACTTTATATTCTTTGGTTACGTGTTTTCTACAGCATTCGCAAATATTAACTGACAACTAAAGCTATATTATACTTCTGGCAGCTAAAGCCTTAGCTTCTTATTCTTTCGTACGCTCAGCATTCGTAAATATTTAACTGGCAGCTCAACCTATATCATAATTTTTATAAAAGCTTTTGTCTATTTTATCTGTTTGTCGCTTTTTAAAGCTTACATAAAAGCTTTTGTTTCAATTTATTTCTTTTATTTATTTTTTTTGGTAAAATCACCAAGAGCTTTCTCCTTCTACCGCCTTCTCTCTATCGAATAAAGGCTTTTAGAAAAACTTTTACTTTCAGCTTGGACTATATTTATTATTTTTTATTCACATACAGGTCTGTGCCACGCTCGGCACCACGGGCAGCTGCAGCTTTGACAATCTGGATGAGGTGCGTAGATATTAACCTGTTCCTATATATCCATCAGTCCAGACTCGAGCTGTATTTCCTTCCCAGATTGGCATCGTGTGTCGCGAGTACAACCTGTGGCTGCACGTGGACGCGGCGTATGCGGGCAGCGCCTTCATCTGTCCCGAGTTCCGGACCTGGCTGCGGGGCATCGAGCGCGCCGATTCGCTGGCCTTCAATCCCTCCAAGTGGCTGATGGTGCACTTTGATGCCACGGCAATGTGGGTGCAGGACAGCACCGCGGTGCATCGCACCTTCAACGTGGAGCCCTTGTATCTGCAGCACGAGAACTCCGGGGTGGCCGTCGACTTTATGCACTGGCAGATTCCGCTGAGCCGCCGCTTCCGGGCGCTCAAAGTGTGGTTTGTGCTGAGATCCTTTGGCATCAAGGGCCTGCAGCGCCACATTCGTGAGGGCGTACGCCTGGCGCAGAAGTTCGAGGCGCTGGTCCTCGCCGATCATCGCTTCGAGCTGCCGGCCAAGCGTCATCTGGGCCTGGTCGTGTTCCGCATACGCGGCGACAACGAGATCACCGAGCGGCTGCTCAAGCGCCTGAACTACCGGGGCAACCAGCACTGCGTGCCGTCCTCTCTGAAGGGACAGTACGTGATTCGGTTTACCATCACCTCGACGCACACGACGCTCGACGACATTGTCAAGGACTGGATGGAAATCAAGCAGGTGGCCTCCCAGGTGCTCGACGAGATGAACATCACCATCTCGAATCGCGTCTATCTGAAGGGTAAACACTGGGCCCTTCCCAATTACTGAATGTCCCTTCAACGTTTCGCTTCGTTCCGTTCCGTTTCAGTTCGTTTCTCTTTGTTTTGTTTTATTTTAGTTTACTTTTGTATTAAATTATTGTTTACGTTTCTTTTCCCATTAGCATAAAACACTTTGATCCACCCAGATGCATTATTTTATTCTTGCGGTGCATACTCTGAGGGCTCTCCTCTCAGCGAATACTTGACAAAATGACTTTAAATGCTTGTATCTGTAAGATACAAAATGTATCTTTGTGCTCCGAAGTAACTAAAAAGATTTCAAAGCAATCGCAAATGTTTTGGGTATATTAAATGGTATCTGTATCTTTTAAAAGTAACAAAGTATTGGTAAGAAAACTTTTGTTCGAGTGCTAAAAAATTAATTGACAGATACAAATGTTACCGTGGGGTGTATGAAAGTGTAGACAGGATACAAAAGTATCTAAAGAATGTTCTTGTAAATAAGAAATTGTAAATAAGAAAGGATCTTTCAGGTAGAAGATATAAAACTATCCGTAAGATACAAGAAATATATTAGATAATAGCGAATAATTTAAGATACAAAAGTTATAAGTGTATCTGTAAGATACAAAAGTATCTATAGTACTTCAATGACTCCATAAAAAGCAAAAGTTGCTGTCAGATTCAAAGGAATACGCACAAAATACAAACGTGGACAATTATATAGATATTAAGTAGGTTTAATTTGATAACTATTTTGATTTGATAACTATTTAATTCCTTTATTTGCTTATCAGTTAAATGGATCCAAGCTCAACCTACTAATATATATATATATGAATAATCGAATATTGTAACACAGATACCAAGGAGAAGAGCGAAGCGTTCGGCTCCAGCTTGCTGCTCTCGAATTCGCCGCTGTCGCCAAAGGTGGTGAACGGTTCGTTTGCGGCCATCTTTGATGCGGACGAGTTTCTGGCCAAGACCTATGCGGGAATACGCATTGCGGTAAGTTGAGCTGCAGCTGTGCGAGTTCCGCTAATGATTCAATCGCTCGCAGCACCAGGAATCGCCATCGACGCGTCGCCGGGTGCGCGGCATACTCATGTCCGGCAAACAGTTCTCGCTGGACTCGCACATGGACGTGGCCGTGGTGAGCACCACGCTGGACAGCAACCATGCCGACAACTCGCACGGCCGTGAGCCTGGGCAGCCGGCGGTCGGCCAGGCCAGCATACGCGAGGATGTGGATAGCGAGGAGTCCGCGGCGGAAGGTATGAAGCACAGGTAGCGTAGTCGCCAGTTATTAGTTATATTGCCAGCCAATGCTCGACACAAGCTTCATACGCGAATCCCTCTCCCCTCTCTCTCCCTCTCTCTCTGCCTTGTGTAATGATTTGCCCTTCTCGTCCAGAAACTGAGCTGCTGCAGCTAAACCAGCGACGCGGAAGCAGCCAGACGAGCACCAACACCCAGTCAAGCAACCTTAGTCACAATCACAATCACAACCAGAATCACAACCACAATGCCACGCCCGCCAATCACTTCCGCCCCATTGCATTGTGGACGCCCCAGTCGCCGCCCGAGCTAGGCAGGCTGTTTATGCCCCTTGGGGAGTGTCACATGTACCATGGCAAGCGATTCCTGGAGCCCGTCACCAGCCTCATCGACAACAGTTCCTTTACCAGCAGCATCAATCACATGCCCACGCCCATAACAACGCCCACGGATCCGGTTGGGCCGCTCTTCAGTTTCGAGGACGGCGACTGGCCAGCGAGGACCTTCGGCCAGCTGCTGCTGGAACGATATGCCAACACATCCCCGCGGTCAGCCGACGCCGACTCGTCCACGGACAGCAGCAGCCTGAGCCTGGCCGGAGCTACCACGCCCACACCGAGTCGCCTCAGCAGTCCCAATGACCTGGCCTCGCCGCTGCTCGGTTCGTTTGCATCGCAGTCGCAGTCGCGGTCGGCGTCGCAGTTGCTGCATTCGGCGTTGGGCGCATCAAAGTTCAGTGATTCGGATGCGACTATTTGCTCGGCTGCCTCATCGCTGGAGTCCTTATAAGCATAATAAACTAAATAATATAATTTATATATACTCCATATTCGAATATCTAAACAAAAGCAATCCTTCACTGCTGTGCAATCAATAATCTTAGCTAACGTAGTTCCAATTCGCGTCTATATATATGTATGTATGTATATGTATGTATATATATGTATGTATCTATACCCCTATATGAAACAGCCGCAGATCTCGCTCTAGGCCCATGTATTATATAATATCTAACAAAACTGAAGCGTTGACTCATCCATGTGAGTTGGGATCTGTGCTTAAAGAGAACTAATCGGTAGAGCTGAAAACCAGCCTAACAAAACATAATACTTATATAATACCTATATGATCTAACCATATCCTTTATATATACATAGATGTACATTTATTTTACTCCTCAATGTGATTAAAATTTCGGCGTTAAAGTTAAAAGAAAGGAAATCGATCTACTTAAGAATTTGTACTTAACCCGTTTTACAATGTATCTTTCAGTTTGCATAATCCTTCAGGAGATACATTCTATTCTACATATACATCAAAAACACACACATACACGAACACACACATACACAGCGGCTATACTTCTGCATTTTGCTTAAATGTAAATGAATTCTTCAATTTCGGTGATTATCGGTGCTTATAGTCCGATCTTCATGAAATGTTCAGGGCACAAATGCGACAACCAAGTGTAAATAAATATGAGTGCGCCTGTTGGTAAGTATAAAAAATACTGAAATAATATAACAAGATAATTCACAATTAAGTAAAAGTCAACATTTATCTACAGTACAATTTGAACAGATAATTTGCTTGACAACGATTCATCCGGTGCTGGCTAAGTTTTCTCATTCTTATCCAACAGAGATGGATTGAGCAATCCGATCGCAACCATTGTCCTCGTGCCGAGCTTGAACTGGTGCGCAGAAAAGGAAAGCAAAAAGAGCATGATAAAATGATAGAAGAAGACGATGCTGGGCAGAAGAAAATCTTCGAGGACTAGCTCTTCAAAACGTCCACCAGAAACTGCCTGTGCGTTGTGCAGGACAAACTAAGACAGAGAGATAGAGATAGAGATAGAGAGAGAGAGAGAGAGGGAGAGCGATCAATAGATATCGATGGAACCCAGTCTTTAAGTTAGTAATCACCATAATGACAATAGCGCTGAGCAGGATTTGAACTATGAAACCAAAATACAACGAGGTTTTTATCACGTACATCATGAGTATGAAAATCGAGCCAAAAAAAATGATACTGGAAATAACATGCAGTACGAATGCATTCTTTGTTAGATCGCACTGAAGGGATCGACTTATCAGATATTTAATTCAGGTAATGCTACTTATATACTTACAGGCAAATAAATATTAAGAACAACGCAAACGACGATCAGCAGCGAAGAAAGGAAAATCCACAGGAGTAGTTCCGGCCACAGGGATCTGACGACCAGAGCAGCCATACCAAGAATCCCGAACTCAATCTGAAATTCCATTGCTGGCAACTATCAATTTCTATATACTTCAACTACTTACGGCTAGCACAGTAAGAATCCAATTTAACCACATTATGTTCAGCTGACTAGCGAGTATCAATGCCACTACCAATAGTATGCCGATTGTAAAAAAAAAAAAGCTAATCCCTGGTTTTTGGAATACGCCGCCGACAATGGGCCTGCAGGATGTAAGATATCCTCAGTGAGAAACCGCTTCCGATTACCTAGGGTATCTCAACTTACAACAAGTTGAGAATCAGCCATTGGGCCATCGCTATCCCCAGCCAGATCAGGGATAACAAATAAACGTATAGTATGAATTTCAGACGGTCCCGACTATAGGAGCTCGTGCCTCCATCCATTGTCCCATCAGCTTACGGCTTACTGTATACGGAAATAAATAATTTGTTCATTCATATCTTATCAAACATAACAAAAATCAAACGAAAGTTATTGTAATTAGGATAGCTTGGGCCTCCTTTGAGGCGTCTACTTCAAGGCATGTTTGATAAGTGTCTTGTTTTTGTAAAAATTCGTTTTTTGTCAAAAACTTTTATGTAACGATTCGATTGTTAATTTGTTTGAATGCCAATTGATAGTAGGGTTCCGTACGAATTCAAAAAGTTATAACATTTCAAAATCAGACAATATTTACACGAGATAATTAAAAAAAAATCATAAAAAAGTTTTGATATTCGAACCGACCCCGATTTTAAGAAAAAACGTGGTCGCTTTTCATGGTACCTAGTTGACCTATATATCCTTGGTTATTCCATATCATGGATATAGTCCTAGCGAACCTAAAGGGCAAAGTTCTTGCAAAATGCGAGGAAACAGCGTCCAAAATGTGTATGCTTTTCTATTACACCCGCCACCAGCAACAGTCCCGCCCCCTGGATGGTTTCTAGTTGACTAGCATATCCTTGGTTATACCATACCGTTGATATAGTCCTGGTGAACCTAAAGGACCAAATCCCTGCAAAATGCGCACGGAAACGGTCCAGAAAATGTATGTTTTATGCTTTCAGTACCCATTTTACATAGCTGCACCTTGTGGCTATGCAATGCAATTTTTCATTCAAATTTTAGTTCATCTGCCTACTGGGCATTTCTGTTCGCCTGGTAGTTTTGCCAAATTTTCGTTCAAATCTAACGCCCCATTTGTAGCAGCAGCTGTTAACAGTGGTATGTTAAGTAACAGCAGCAGCTGCTGGTGAACAGTGATCTGTTTATTAACAGCTGCTAATTAACAGTGGTCTGTTAAATTAAAATTTTTTGTGCATCTACCTGCTGGGCATTTCTGTTCGCCTGGTATTTTGGCAGATTTTAAGAAAAATCTCGGCAGCCAGCGGTTGCCAACAGACGTTCCTTTGGAAATAAAAAAACAGGATTTATTCAATTAAATAATTGATTTATTTATGTTTAAATGCACAAATTTGTTGTTTTTTATGTTATTATCTTAATTATTTCTTTTAAAATTATACAAATTGAGCATAAATTATAATATTTGCTTATTTAAACTTAAAATAACTATATCTGGCTTAATTAAAGTCCGATCCTGGAAAAATCTGCCTTGTCACTCGTAAAGGTCCTTAGAGCTCATTGTAGTCGTTAATTTGTCAATCTGAAAAGATAAAAACACATTTAAATTAAACAAGGCAAAAGATATATAGACATTTTATTAAGGAAAAAATTACATAACTCGGTCATGTCCTTGCAGATTTTCAAAGGACATGGTGCGTTAGGATCGTATGGACCCCCTGCATCGATCTGCATCATAAAAATATGGGGTCATCTAAGAATCCCAGGTCTTGTATTTTGACTTGTCAAATTTTAGTCGCGGAGCGCACGGAAATGTGCTGAAAACACATATCCTTAAATATTTCCTAAACTACAAGGACGATCTTAATGAAATTTGACCAGTTGGTAGTCCTGGTTAATACAATTTTTTTGACATATGACTCGCAAGGATACGCCAGGATATAGCCGAGTTATGGCCTATTTTTAGTTAACAAAATTGTCCTTTACACTTTTTTGTCTGAAGGACTTTCGTCCTTTGGGTTGTAAATTTCCTAATGGGAGGGTGAGAACTATCTGCTGGCCAAAGGACATCCCGATAGTCCTTCAAATGGCGAAGTTAGCCCGGAATTTTTCGATTTTAGCTAATTTGGCGACTAACCCCTAGGAAAAAAATCGACGAAATTTTTCGTCGAATCCTGGAAATCCTTGAATGCCAGTCGATAGATCTGCTCACTACGAGTTTAAAAAGGCATATCCTTCCGATATCCTCAAGGATTTGGCCGAGTTGTGGCTAATTGAAAAATGTCCTTTTTAGAAAATTAGCCATATATCGGAAACGGCAAGGACGATTTTGTTGTCCTTTGGACAGTTTATGGTCCTTGTTCATACAATTTGTTAGACACACGACTTGTCAGGATCTGCAAGGATACGGCCGAGTTATGGCTTAGTTCATTTACGAATAAGTTGTACTCATATCTAGGCTGTCTAAAGGACTTTCGCCCTTTCTATAATATTTTTTTTATTGGGGGGATGAGGACTTACGGTTGGCCAATGGACATCATGATCGGCAAGGATACGGCCGATCTACAGCCATTTATCTCTCCCGACAAGAATCTCTTTTCCTCAGCTCCATGAAGGATTTATGTCCTTTCTATAACATGTTATAAGTTGGCAGGACAAGGAGAACATGTTGTTCAAAGGACATCAGAATGGTCCTTAAGGTAGTCAATGTAATGTCCTTTAAAAAGACTATCCAAAAACGTGATGCCAATCGACAATAGCGATCGGATCGATTCCAAAATGGTATATCTTTCCAAAATCGGACATTATTTGGCCGAGATATTTCAAAATCGGGCAGTACCTGAAAAAGAAAAAGTTAAAATAAGCAGTTCATAAAGCAGTTGAACATACATTCGTTAATTGACATTAATTAACATACAACTAAATTTAATTTAAGCCCCTAAGTGTAAAAAAGATCTGAATTAAACCGAAATAATTATTTACTCCTTAAAGGGCTATGCATGAGATGCAAATTAATGAATTACAAATAATCCATTTCAAATGTTGAAACTAGTTACAATTGAACCTGTCAATGGAATTTGAATATCTAACGCTTTGGACATTATTATTAGAGACTTGATACATATGATCGTGTACATTTGCTGGTGGGTGTAATCTGCATGGCTGCATGTCGTACAATTTATATGAAATCAATTTAAAATAAATCAACCGGAGATGTACTGTTGCTTGTGGTGTTTCTGTCGTCTGGAGCCATCGTCGTAGACCCGGCCTGATTAATCGTGGCGATCTTATAGTGGATCTGCATATAGAATGTCAAGAGAAACATGACGCCAAAATCGTAGAAGAGTATGATCGAGGCCAGAAGATAATCATTGACGCGCATTTCCGCAAAGCGACCGCCGTTAATAGTCTGCGCGTGGTACATGACAAACTAGATGGACAGAAAGAGAGAGTAGTAACGATACGTTTGTAATCACGGCACAGTTATCCAATACTCACCGTCAGAATGATGACGCTGACAAATAGCTGGTAGAGGATGAAGGAGTGAGCTGTGAGCGTCAGTAGGTGCAGCATAATCAGGAAGACCGACACAATGAGGAAGACAAAGGATATCACAAACAATATAACAACATCCAGCGTCAGATCGTGCTAAATAATTAGAAAATCAATGATTAGATAAGCAAATACTTGGGAATAGTCGAAGCCACCTACCGGTATTACAGATCCCAATAGTACGAAGATGAAGAGCAGCAGGGCGCAAATCGCAAACCACATGAGAAGTTCCGGCCACGAAGAGTTAGCGACCAGCGCAAACAGGCCCATAACAGCAAACTGTACCTGATCGTTCAGTTAGAGAAGAGCTTCACCTTGTGAATTGAAGGTACTTACGATTAGGATGGTTATAAGCCAATTCACACATGTGACAAAGCGAGCTGCCTCGAAGAATATGAAGAGAAGGGCCAATGTAATTGACAGTGTGAAGCATACGATACTCATCCAATGATAGATCAAGAACGCATCCTTGGCCGAGGGACTGCAGAGAAAGGATTGAAACACGTCAATATACTATATACTGTTTATACTAGAAACTTACACTGAAAGCACGACCAGCCATTGGGCCAGACCCAGCAGGAGCCAGCAAAATGTTATCAGATAGACAATGGCCGCGAATTTCCGACGGGTGCGTTGATAGGTCCCGACACGATCATCCATTATTCGGCAGGTTTATGGCTTATGGGATACATAGACAAAAAATTTATGCGTTGTTATGTATAAAAAAGTTATTAAAATTAAAAATAATTAATATGAGTTGGATATGTGAAGAGTGTGTAAGGCGTGTAATTCAAGGCATGCTTGATGAATTTTTCGAGGCTCTTGTGACCAAAACGATGCTAAACGTAAATAATTCTAAACATTATTCTTGGTAAAGAAGATATTCATGTCAACAAAATTTTTTTTTTTTGTAAATTTGGAAGCTGTTGTTTAAATTCGCTAATGCACATTTACCACATGTTTATATATATATATGTATTCCATTTGCACTTCTAGTAAAAATTTCAATATAGGAGGGCAACGCATTTATTGGCAAGGGCTACTGTGACTCGGGTTCGACAGAGTTGGCATTTGCTTATGTCGTTATATTTTATAATAAAGTTGCGTTAAACTTTTTTTTTAAAATTACATAGTTGCAAGAAAAGAACTTTGATCAATGGATCTCGATGAGCGTGGGAAGGACCAGGCTGCGAGATCCCTGCTGAGGAAAACGTATAAAGTGACCATCATAATGCTTTTAATTGGACAACTCCAGGTCTGCGTTGTAAATGAAATGTGAGCGAAACGTTATCTATCTATCTATCCATCTAAATGTATATATATAATTATTATATATCCTGCAGTTCACTCTTCAAGAAGTTTTTTGTAAAGCATTACTATGTGAGCCTGGCGCAGTTTTTTATAAGCTTTATATCGATACAGCTGTACGTGTTCTTTTATCATGCCATCGAGAAGAAGGCAACGTGGAAAAGGATCTTAATCGGAATCTGGACGGTAAGCGATAAAGAGAGAGAGAGAGAGAGAGAGAGAGAGAGAGAGAAAGAAAGAGAGACTCACCGAAATAAATTAAAGAATTACTATTCCTGCTGCTCTCCAGTTCGAGGTAAACACCATTTCGATCATGAAGCCCTCCAAGAGTTCGCCATACTTGTGTTTTTTAATATCATGGGTGGTCACTTTTTTGATCATGGCCGGAAGTGTGATATATGGCAACATGGCAGTAAAACACCGACGTGGTCTCTTTGCAAGTGGACTCTTCCAACGCCTACCCAGATCTGAGGGCATTTTTTTTCTTACAGATATTTTCCATTTATAGGTGTCACGCCACAATATAATCCGTTGGAGCGAACGTCTCTTTGTGCTGACCTGCTTTGGCATCATTGTCTGCTCCGAGATGAGTCGCACCTCCATCGAGTTTCCCACCCTCCTCATCTACAGCATGATATCGAACATTGTAAGGAGGCAGGCAAGGCATTCAAATCCCAATAACACTGGCTGAATGGAAAGCACACGGAAAGAATTCGAGATTTCCAACTAAACCGAAAGCCTTTACCGTCGTGCCACATTCAGGCAGTGTCATTTGGGATATTTCAGCTGATTAATGCCCGCTTTTGCTGCAGTTTGTGGTCGTCTTTGCTGCCTCGATACGCAAGCCGAACTTCTATCACGTGGATGGCGTTGCCGATCACATACTGATTGGCCAGCTGTACTATCTGAACTTCTATGCCCTGTACATGGGCATCGTGTGGACGCTTTCATCTGGCTTCATATTGGCCGATTGGGATGTACCCCTGGAAGAGTTATTTAAAGCAAAGCGCTAGACCAGATGTCGCCTTGCAGTGTTGTCATGCTTCAAAATGGGTTTACCTCCTTTGTTATTGACCAGGCGCATGCGCCGCAAAGCCCACGAACAGCTGTTCCATACGGGCACAAATATGCACCCACACACGCACACACACATACATCCACAGACGCGGAACTCACGCCCTCAACCTTCCCCTTGCCCCATCATCTAGCGCAGGCAGCCAATGTTCTCGATAGTCGCTGGCAAATGCAAATCAGGAACGTTTCGCTGCCTGCCGCTGGATGCCTCCTCCGCTGAGGGGCTTACGTCACATTCGTCGCGATCCTTGTTAAAATTTGATTTGTGTTTCAATTTAGGTCCTGGTGCATTCGGTTCATCACCGGGTTGTTCTCGTCCATTTCCTCGCGTTTGTCCCCGTCGACGTCGGACTTGTGCTTTTAGTTTTCGTCGCATCAAATCGATAAAAGTTTTACTTTATAACGCACACGCACACACACAACATACAACACAAAATATTTGTAAAAAGAGAAAAATATGTAAATAATAATATTTCACGTAAACTTTTCTACAAAATGTTCGCGATTCTTTTTGGCAAACGTACGTTGTATTACGAGTACAATAATAACGAAATTATATCAATTACATGCCATTTCATATAAGTGTAAATACAAAAGGTTATATATATACACACATATATGTATATATATCTATGTATGTATGTGTGTATGTATATAGTCATATAAAATATGTTCCTGTGCCTGTGCGTGCGCGTGTATGTGTGTGCGTGGCTTTTGGTTAAAACTATTGTTTAATACATGTGCAAAGTGCCTTTAATCTTAGCTGGGCTAAAACGGAAGTTTAAATTCAATTTGTGCGCCGTGTAAGGGAAAACCCCCACATCCACACACACTCAGGCACACATACGCACACACACACACACAAAACACTCGCAGCATACATGTGCGTAGTTTTAAATTACATTTGTTGTTGTTGTTGCAATATTTGTTACAATACATATGTGAAAATTCTGTGTGTGTTTTAACATTTAGGATTAATATATAAATAACAATCTGTAAAGTGTTTTAGTTTAATGCTTTTAGACACAGATTGTGTTTAAGTTTTAGTTTCAGCTTTAAATTTGGTTGTTGCGCTTAAGGCCAGTGCAAAGGCAGCAACTCCTCCGCAAGTATTGCCATTCAAGAGCTGTTCGTTGTGTTTCTCTTTCCTGACGAGCTGCAATGGGGCTCCTAATGGGGCGCCTCGGTAACGGCTTTTGTGGCATGATCCGAGTTGCTGCTGCTGCTGCTGCTTGAGGGCAAAGCGCACACTGTAATTGGCAGGGAAGAGAGTTTCAGATTAGTGCATCAAATAAAGGGCGTGGCGCCTGGTCAAAGGTGTCTCACATATGCATTGGCAGTTATTATGTTGCAGAGTCCGAATCTTAAAATTAACTACACACGATTGTACTTTTAGCAAAGCTATCACGCTTAATTATCTAGTCAAATAAACAGCTAATTAGCACATGGAGCACACGCAACAATTTTCTTTTACCTTTTGCTTAAACTAAATTTGTTCTTTTTGTAACACACAGCACATGTATGTGGGCGTGTGTATGTGTGTGTGTGTGTATATATATGTATACGTTTTTGTATATGTTGCCTTAGAGTTAAGCGCAACAAGTTGCCTTGCCGCATGTGGATACATTTTGTTTTTGTTTTTTTGTTTTTTGTTTATCAATTGTAAAGCGACACTGCAAGTAAAATAAAAATGGATCATTGTTCAAAAAAGTTGCCAATCGGTTCAAGTTAATTGTGCGAACAACTCCCAATCACCCAACCACAACCGAGACCCAAGACCCAGCCAGACAGAAATTAACGAAAACAACATGAAAGCAAACTTATCTCTGACTATAAATTAAAGACTTTTGCAGACATGTGACAAATGTGCATGATACTAAATATTAATCGCAACTCCAGAAGGCATTGAGAATATAATGAAACTTTTAGCTGGTGAGTATTTGATCAAGATAACTCGAGGAACAAAAACCATGTTAACGATCTGATTAAATTGAACTAAAAGATATAGTGATCCGTTGTGCCTAAAGTTTTGCTAATTATTTTTAGTACAATAGAATTTAAATTCGTTAGTTGGATCAATAATTATTATAAGGAACTTTATTGTCGATAGATGTTGTAGGATCATGATAAAAAACTACCAGTTTTTCAGACTATCTATCTATCTATGAGGCTCTTCGGCCATATGATATAGTGGATCGAAATGTGCAACTTTTACAGTAAATATTGTGCATCAAGATGGAATATCAAAACAAATTTTAGGCTTAGAGAATTGTTTATATATGGACAGACGGAGGGTGGGAAATAGTAACTCTATATATATCAATTAATAAACACTATTTAAGTATTTATATTTTGGGCAGGATTTGTAAGCGTTACTTATTTCGTGACAAAATTAATACAAAGATAAGCTAGTTGTTTAGGTGCGTGTGTACTTAAATCTAGAGCTTAGCAATGTGCATGTCATAAATCCTTTAGCAACAAGTGGGTGATTTAAATAGTAATTATTCCTTTTTAAGTAGTTATCACAGGCTTATGGCTAGGATATAATCGTAATTGTACATTTGAGCCTAAGCCTGATGCTGCCAATTAGAAATTGGAAGCATTTGTATTAGATTAGATGAAAGCGCAGGCAGAAAGCATTGAACCAAACCAGAGAGAACAATTGGGTGCCTGTTCTGGCGGACTTACCTATTATAATGATGAGCAAGACGACCGCGATGACGCCCAGAATGATCATCATCTTCATGTTGGCCCACCATTGCTTGCGCTTCAGCTTGCCGGCCTGCTGCTCGAACTGTGAGGCGCCCTGCTCCAGCTGGTCGGCACGTTCGCCCAGCTCCGATAGTTTTTGGTCACGTTCGAGCACCTTCTCGACGTTGACGCGCATTATGCCCACGACCTCGTCCACTTTGGCCTGTGTCTGCTGCAGGCGCTTCTGGGCGGCATTGTTGTTGCTTTTGTTGTTGTTGATTTCGTTGTTATAGTTGTAGGAGGACGAGGCATTCGGCGGCGGCGGAAGTATGGGAAAACTGTATAATATTATATGTGTGGTGGAAGGGAAGCACAAGCGCGTCTCACAGCGCCACGCACGAATGCCAGCCCCGGCTTAAGTGAATGCATTGCACTAATTGACGCAATGACATCACACGCCAAGAACTTCGTCACGACATTGGGTTTCCCGGGCTTGCATTTGTGCGTCGCACTTTTCAATTTTCATTTGGCTGCGGCTCTTCTTGTGAGTTCTACTTACTCATTATTGGAACCGGAAGGTGCGGGCGCCTCGTTGTTCTCCATCTTTGTGCTTGTTTAAATGTATACTAGCTGCAAAAGAAAAAGTAGATATTATAGAGAGCGTTCATTGTTTGAATCAGCGGGTTCTATTCGAATTATTGACTCAGATATACCCTAGCATTCAATCGTAATTATTTTGCTGCAGTTCGAGTAGAAACAAGTTGGTATAAATAAAATAAAACTCCAATCGGAATCCGCCAGCATTAGTCAAATTCGTAATAATATTTACAAAGTAGAAAAAGAGTTGGGGCGAGCTCAAAAAGGAAGTGAGATTGCGATAGTAAGGGCTATTACTAATTAAATATATATCAACATTTTTCAGCCCTTAGATCATCATTCTATGAGATGAAGAATAAGTCCCAAAGGAGTATCAGTTATCCATGTATAAGAAGCAGTCAGTTCTCAGTCCATGCCAAATAAATGCATGCATACGCTATGCATTGCTACGTTCTGATAAGACCCATATGGCTTTCTCTGTTGAGCTCGTTAATCCAATTAGGCATTTATATTAATAAACATATTTGTGTTGGAAATATATCTGGCTCAGGCTATTTCGTAAATAAATCTGTTTAACTATTTGCAATGGGTACAGGGTACAACATATTGTCTACATTAGGAATTTTCTCAGTTCTCAAGATACAAATAAATTAATTGCGGCGAGTGCACACACACACACATGCACATACAATCGCGCACACAATCACATATGTAAGAAGAGAAAGAGGTGCACACACTAAAAAGCTGCGATTAATAAAGTTAAATTCAAACACACACGCACATACCAAACAGAATAACAGCACAATGGCAAGTTGAAGCACATCTTATCTATGCAATATTTTGTCCAGTACGAAATGAATCATACAATTTCCGAACTTGGGCTAGCACAAAAATAGAGATGAGCGCTGCCTAAATCAGTGATTGGTCACACTGCTCTCTGAGTAAAGTTCACACTAGGCGCTGAAGTTGTAAATATTTTAGCTAATTACACACTGTTTGTTAGCGCCCTGCTGCTAATCAGATCTTTAGCCCGTCCACAAACCAAACTAAATGCGTTAGGCTTACCCTTTGAACCGTGACTCTTCACTGTGACTCTGCAAACAGTGAAAAAGCTGCCAGCGCTAGCAGCACCAAAAAAAAACTTGTTGCTCGTCGAATTTTTGCAGCCGCCTGCCAACGCACAATATTTACATTGCGTTGTCGGCCTCGCCCTATTTAACCAAAACACACTCACCTGGAAAATGTTTATTGTACAATTGTTTAGCTGTTTCTGTGCTGTTTGCCTGTTTTATGCTTCGCTTTTAAATTTTTTTGGATTTTGATTAAAAATGTATTAGTAAGGCAACGTTGTGTTTTGTCTGACAATTTCTACAGGCTGAAAAAAATGGTGATTGTTGTGACTGTTGCTGTTAATTAACATAAATGTTAAGCACATTGAGTTAAAATGCGACGCAGTTTTGCGCGCGGCGTCAACTCTTGCATGGCAACGCTGTTTTTGACAGTGTGGCAACTCAGTTAATTTATTTCTTGGCGTCTAATTTAAATTTTGTGTTTTGCAGCAATAATTGCCAAACCTAACATGGAAAATGCATAGCTCGCTGGCCTCCAGGTTACTAGTGCGACTTCTGCTGCTGTTTGCACTGGTTACTGTAGTTTCGATTGTCATTCTTACAAAATGGGGTTTCGATGAGCTGACCGCTCAAACGGACAAGGATTCGCATGCAAATCCCAGCGAGACAAATGGCTACAACTATGCACTGAGCGCGCGAGATGCAGAAATAGAGCGCCTCAAGCACGAGGTGCTCACTCTGCGTGCTCAGCTTGTGCTACTACAGAACAATCGTAGCGGCGGCAACAACAATGGCGTGCCAGGCAAGGTGCCGCTACAGGGCAGTGGATACGCCGCCAGCAGCAGCAGCAGCAACAACAACAACAACAACAACAACACGCAGCTGCACCAGACGGACACCACAATTGCCCCGCTCACGCACCACTACGACTGCAGCAGCTATATACGGAAGCAGGTGGGCGCCGCTGAGATACTGCACGGCCTGCCGCTGAACAATGAGTATGAGATGATACCCTTTAACCATTTCACCTTCACGCGCGTCTATCCCATCGACCTCGGACTGGGCAAACGAGTGGTGGAGAAACCCATTGGCTACCGGCGGCGCGATCTCCTAGAAGCGGTCAACAAGGCACTAGAGAGTCTCAATCGCAATCATACAGCGCGTGCAAGGGCCAAGGGCCTCACAGCGACAGAGCTGGGCCGGTACACGCTGGACGACTTTGTCGAGGGTATCTACCGCACGGAGCCGACAACTGGCAGCCAATACGAGCTCTATTTCCAGAGCATCAAGCACCAGACCAATGTGGTGCGCAAGGCGCTCATCATGCGACCCTTTGCACCGCTGCAGACGGTCCAGCTATCCGAGGTGGCCGCCAGTCCCATCATCCATGTGATACTACCGCTCGCCGGACGTCTGCGCAGCTTTCGCAGCTTTGTGCAGATGTTGGGCAAACTGGCGGATCGGCGCCTGCAGCTGATAGTCGTCTACTTTGGCGAGGCGGGCCTCAAGGAGGCACAGGAGATAGCAACGGGAGCGGAACATGCACACTTTGTATCCCTGAATGAGACATTCAGCCGAGGTGGGTGCCAGATTGGGTTGCCGTCGGACATCTTTTTCTAAATCTTTTCCTTTGCAGCCAAGGCGTTGCGTCTGGGCGCCGAGCACATCCAGCCAGAGGCGGCAAAAGTGACGCAGGATGCGCTGCTCTTCATGTGCGACGTGGACATTGTGTTCACAGCCAAATTTCTGGAGCGCTGTCGCTGGAATGCCGCGCCGGCCAAGAAAGTGAGAACAGGGCACATTTAGGATGAGGAGTTGACTAACTAGTTGTCCTTTTAGGTTTATTATCCCGTCGTGTTTAGCCTGTACAATCCGCACGTGGTGTACACGCTGCAGGGCAAGCCGCTGCCCAGCGAGGAGGAGCAGCTGCTCATCTCGCGGGACACGGGCTTCTGGCGCGACTTTGGCTACGGCATGACGTGCCAGTATCGCTCGGACTTCCTTCAAATACGCGGCTTCGATGAGGAAATCGTTGGTTGGGGCGGCGAGGATGTGATGCTCTATCGCAAATATGTGCGATCCAAAATAAAAATTATACGCGCCACAGATCCGGGCATCTTTCATCGCTGGCATACGAAGGTGAGGCAACCAGAGACACCTTTAAATTGTGGTCTAATACCCGTTTTTTGTACTCTGACAGATCTGCACCGGCTCGCTAAGCGCGGATCAGTATCGCGCCTGCATACGTTCGCGTGCTCTGAACGAGGCATCGCATGCCCAGCTTGGTTTTCTGGCATTTCAGGACGAGATCGCCGCCGCGGGTGCCATGTCCGGCGTGTCAATGGCACACTCGTGATATCTTATGGGAATTGGCCTCTGCTTTCGATATTCAGCCACAATGTGACAATAACTTGTATTTAGCCAATCGTTGACCTAGCATAATTGTTAAATCTGTTTCTTTGCCGCCTAGATACTTAACTTAAATTAACTAAACTACTCGGTACTTGTACTCGTAATCGTCTGCGTAATCGTATGACAAATTGTTCTTCCATGAAGCAAACTAGATGCAATCTTCAACAACAAAAAACAAAAAGACATAATAATTACAATAATAATAATAACAAACACCTAACGAGAACCACATTGTAAACATATTTAGCATATTGTATCATATACTGAACCTATATAAAAGTGCGTCTGCTCGCATTAGATAAACCAAATTAAATGGTTTAATTAAACTTGTCGCCGTTGTAAATTTATAGATGGGCTCGTGTGGACTTGGATATACTCGCGTTGAGTGAATGCCAACGACCTCCCTTTGGGGTTCAGTGCGCATGCAGACCAAGAAGATGACTCCGCCAAAAAAATAGAAAGAAATAGAAAAAAAACAGCCGCAGGAGCAGATGTGGTATTTTTTCACTCTAGCGTAAAGTTCATATGTTATTTTTACTATATGCTACCCTAGCAGGGAGTACTACAACTGTAGCAAGCTGTTTGCAGCGCACAAAGATAATTAAAATGCCTTTCTAGGCGACGTTCATGACCCCAAATATTGCGAATATTATTTTAATATAATTAATTTTGTTCTCTCAGAATCTCTCACATGCTCTGTACCTCTCTTACTTTTAACCCTCTCTCCCTCTTTTTGTATACTCATTAACACTCTTCAATCACTGTATCTCTAATATAACGCCTTTCTATGCAGTTCTCATGAATTCAAGGCTTGCATATTTGTGTGCTTCATTAACTTATCAAAACTGTGTTCTCTTACTATCTCTGAATCCTGGATGCTTGTGAATAGCATTTAGTCTGCTATACCTCAGGTTTTTCACGTATAGATATATAAACTTTGATATATTTTGCATATAAATTTGTTCCATCTGGCGTCTTTTTGAGCACGGACGCTAAACTTCAGAGTTAAACCCTTTTCATGGTCACGGTCGTGGAATTATGTAAGCGCCGAAAAATGAATTTGTTTGGCGCAATTAGCAATGCTAATTTCACGCCTTTAATCCAAGATTTATCCAGCAATAATGAGTCAGAGTTTTCGACACTTGGAAGGAATTCGCTTGACCATTACGCCATGCGAGAAGATGCATTAATTAGCCTCAAATGTGACCTGAGAACAAATAATGACAGGTTGCGCCCCGACAAAACATCCTCCTGTCATTCTCCGAATGCCAAACTGACCATGAAAATCACGAAAACCGTTTCACAGTCAGATTCAGAGTCGAATTCAGATTCAGGCAGCCTGGGGCCCACACACCCAAGGTGTTGCAGGTGAAGTGACAAAACGGTGCCCCAGCCAAATGCCAACACCTCAACCACAAATACCAGAGCTTGGAAGCACGTAGAGCAGCGAGCATCGCGCCCCCCCACACCCCGCTGTCGACAAGCTCCACATCGCGCTTCAGTGCGTCTCTCTGTGAGTTTTTCGGTCTCGGCTTCGGTTCTAGCAAAACGCGCTCCAACGAACTTGGCGGCTATTTCAGATAAATACCCGTGCCCCAGACCTGAGCAGCACATTCGTGATTTCAATTCTGTTGCCAGCGACACGTCAAGCGATAATCCATCTACTCATAAAAAGCGCGCCGAAGGATTCGTGAACCCAGCTACATATAGCTAATACAGTTCAAAGGTGGCACAGCACGTGCCTAAAAAATATATTCGGAAGTGATTTATACACCTTGTGAGCCAGAAAGCAAAATGCGAGTGTTGCAATTGGTGAGTTAAAAATAATTATGAATCGAAAGTTCTTTTTAAATATCTAAAAATATTATAAATTCAGAAATATCATACAAAAATGGTGAACAAAAAATTATAGTCGTATTCAGAAGAGAATTCATATCTATGATTATTCAAATTGGATCAATTGAAAGATACATTTTTTGTAAATATAGTAGCGACAAGTAATAAAAAGTACTTGATATTAACGGGTAAATAGTCGACTGTGTAGAGTATAGGCTGGGGGTTTATACACTAAGCATGAAGTTAAAACCGAAGGTTCCTAGTCTGCTAGGCTTAAACAAATTTAAATACTCTATTTAAATAGCGTGGAATTTGTGTATTCAGTTACAAGATTTTTCCTTCTATATGCAGTCGTTAATCCAACAATGAAGGATACAGAAGGAAAAATCTTGTATTTAAAAACTTGTATCAATGAGAATTTTAAAAGCGTTTCAGGTAAATGCCGTCGCTATTTAGAACAGATATTTTAAGTTTTGCAAACAATTAAAAAAAACTGTTTTGAAGCCACCAAATTCGTTTAAAATTAAATAGTAAATAAATAATAATAAAAATTATAGAATCAACTTATGTTTTAAGTCAAGTTTAGTTTGTAGTTCATTGTTTTTTATAAGATTCAGAAATTTTTCAAAAATCTAAAATTATTAGAAAATATAAATTAGAAACTTTAGAGAACTTGGAAACATTGCAAATTCTATATCAGACAAGTTTTTACATGTTCCAAGAAACCCGGCCCTTTCGTCTAACAAAAGATACGCAGATTAATAAATAAAATTTGGAGAATTCGGATGGATTTTTTTTTAAATATAACAGATCTATTATATTTGTATAAGTATAAGTAGTATATGTATAGCGGAACTCTTAAGTTAGGTTATAAAGTATCAGACTATGCAACTGTTGACCTTGATTTTGTCGTCAGTATTGGCAGTCAGTATTTACCTGATGATTTAGGGATATACCTGGTAAAAATTTATAGACAGGCGAACAAACGATTAGAACTATGCATAGTCCCCCAAATTGCTTATACACATTTAAAAATCTTTGCCTCTAAATAGAACTTCACATATCAAAATAATACT